CAAACCTTTTTCTATATTTTGGTTTATTAGTATTATTATAACTATCTTTTTTATATTTTCTATACTTGGGAATGTATCTCTTATATTTTTTAAATTTTTGCTTGTTTTGTTTGCGATAAATCTTTTCTTTCTTTGTTCTACATCCCCATTTATTTGGGATTTCTAAAAGTTGTGGATCACAACAAGGTTTATTTTGGTAGTATAAAAGAGTTCCTCTTAATTGGGTGTCTTTGCATCTATCTTCTATTGTTTCTTTTAGAAGATTAACTCTTCCTGCAAAGCCATCGGTAATATGGTCAGATTTATTAGACCATTTTTTATTCATTTCAAAAGCCCACAAAGGTGGTAGTTTATTAAAATATTTTTCAGCATAAGCTGGTCTATCTTCTTGTCTTAACACGTAGTACCATTTTTCATACTCACATGTATAATTTTTCCAATAACAGATATCACATATCTGAATATTATCTAAAATGAACTTTGCCTTTTTATGTCTTTCTTCTAAGACAGCGTTTGTATTATCTAGTTCTCTTACTCCTACAAATTCATTAATTAGTAATTTAGCAAGAGCATTTAGATATTCTATGTTATCTTCTGGTTTATTCCAATGAGCATCAAGGCTAGGAACATATGGATTTGAGTCCCACCAATTTTTAACATTTCCTTTCATATGAAGTTCTAAGTATGTTCTCAGTGTTCTTAGGTCTTCAAATGCTTCTTTATTAGTTTGTATTACTACTAACATGTAGTTGTACCAACTTTTTATTTTTTCAACCGGTTTTGCTAAACAGTCTAAGTCAAGAATGTTGTCGTTATTATTTTTCGAGTCATCTCTTGGAATAAACTCTTTTGGAATAAAATTCTTTGATTTTTTCTTATAAGTTTTAGTTTTGCTTCTATTCATATTCATCATTCCTGGGAAGTTTACTTCTGGGAATGTTTCATATGTTTTATCTTCGTCTGATACTCCAAAATACCTATCAGCATTTGGATTGTAAAATTCATCATTTCTACATTCTTCAGGAGTCATGAATTCATGGGTATCACAATAATTACTTGGTCCTGGAGGAATATCCTTCAGGTCTTCTTCAATCTTTACATTTAAGCGATTTTTAGGTTCTGAACTATCACTTTCTGTACAAGATTCACTATAATTACCTATGAATTCTTTCAAAGATAATATATTCTGATATTTATCTATTAAAGATTGAACATCAGTTTCATTTTGACTCAATTCTGAATCAGAACTCATTTTTTCTCTTCTAGTCTTTTATATTTGTCCTTTTCAAATAAATCTTTAAGATTCCATTCATTGGGGGGTCTATAAGTAGGTATAGACTTCTTTTCTTTAAAGACTTTTATAAGTTTTTCTATTTCTATTGTTTTTGTGTCTTGGTTACTAGAATCAGACTGATGTATTGTTTGTTCTATTTTTAGAACGATTTCTTTTATTTCACTAACTATTGTTAGAATTTGTTGTACATTTCCTATTTCCGGATTTTTAGACATTTATTCCTAACTCATTTCCAATTTGATTTACAAGTTGGATTACTTTATTTAGTTTTTCTATTAGTGGGTCAATTTTTGGAATTTTCCCATCTAATTTTGTTAGAGTTTCTTCTAATCTGTTTATGTTTATCTTATTAATATTTTCTATGATTTTATCAGCTTTTGCTGCAATATCAAGAATTTCTGAAAGTAAAGTATCAAGAAATTCAATATTTCTACTTGTTTTTTCGAGTCTTTCAAGAATTAGGCCTTGATTTTCTCGAATTTTTTCAATATTTTCCCAGAGGGGAGTGTTTTTCATTTTTTAATGCTTTTTAAGTGAGTTAGTACCGTTATGAGTAATACTGGTACATTTTCTTTAAAGGAGTGGTACAAAGATAAAATTGTGTTTTATCTAATTGGTATAAGGGTAAAAATGTATTTTTCCCTTATGAGGGGACCAATTCTTTTGTCTTTAGGGAGTGGAAAGGAAGAAAATTTTGTTAGGGATTGAAGAGGAAAGTGAAAGTAGGTTTGGGGATTTAAAAGGAATTAGCCGTTAAATCAGACTATTATTGACAAAGAAAAAATTCCTTAACGTAAAGGTTAAAACTTAAAACACAAAACAACATTTAAAAAAAGATAGTAATAGCTAAAATCTCACATATTTGGTTTTTAAATATAAGTGGGGATGATGATATAATATAAAGTAATATAATGTAGGGGGTGGGCCCCGCGGGGCATCAATTTGCACTTCTGCCTTGGGAAGGAGAAGGGTGTCCTTCCAACACGTGGAGGTGTTTGGTAAGCCCTACACGTGTCGATCTTTGATGGCAGGTGTGCAGCTAAGCAGCTGTCGCAACTTGCTGATGGTGACGTGTGAAGGAGTAAAGGGTATGAAGTGCAGCAGATTTCCACGTCACGTGGGCCCCACTTGCTCAGCATGAAAAAAAGTAAAGGGGGACACCCTCGCGTGGTGTATGTGGATTGTGGACCGTCCCTATTTAATTTTTTTCCCATATTTAAATTTTATTTTTCCGTTGTGCATTGCATAATAGTGCGATGCACGGAAAAATAATATTAAGATTATAATAAATTAAATATAAAATAATATTAATCATGATTTATTTATTGTTTTTAAATTAAATCGTGTTGGACACCGTCCGATCGAATGGACTGAGAACCGGTTTATAACCAGTCTAGTTTGCTTGAATAAAATATTTGCTCTCAAATCCGTCAACACCAGTCGGTTGGATTGGTAGGATCGATACGATTTTCTAAATAAATTTTGTAATATTTAAAATTATTTTAAATAAAATTACATATTTAAATAAAATAGAAATTTATAAATTATTTATCAATTTGTTTAAACACTTGAATTTATAAATTGTTTAGATATCTAAGTAACACATTTTATTTAAATTTATTACAAAAGATACTACATATAGCTTGATTGTTTGAAAACCTTATATTTACTATACATTAATAAATATTATAATAAAATATTATTTAATTCACATAAATATTAATAAAATGATATATAAATATTCATAAATCATTAAACATGTTGTCATAAAAGTATTGCTAATACAATTATTTGAAGTTTTGACTACATCACATTCACGTAATAAAATATTTTCAATATAAAATTTATATTTAGGTTCAATAATCGATTTGGTGTGGTCGAACTGATGCATAACTTAATCACTTGGAACCAACCAAGTTGTGTCAAGTTTTTTGACTATTTTAAATATCACATAAAAGTAATTCAATCAACCTGGAGAGTACCCTAATTCAATCACCCGATTGATCCGAAGAAATTTTCTTATTTTCTTTAAATATATTTAATTTTATGAAATAAAAATATATTATGATTCATATAATAAATGTCTACACCAAATGATAGTATATTAAGATTGTAAATTATATATCTAAAGATGAATTAATTATTTTTACTTTATGCATATTATAAAAAATAAACATAGTAATTTTTAAAAAATTAAGATTAATTGATTGATTATGCAATTTAAAGAATATTTTTAGCGTTCATTTTTTTCAAAAGGCACAAATATAAAGACCGAGATTCTAAAACTTTTGTTATATTTTGAATTAAGATTTTATAAATATAGAGACCGAGATTTTAATATTGTTCGTTGTTTCTAAGAAAAAATAAAAATAAAAACTTACACACTTAATAAATATTAGCCGAATTTTTTAAATAATAAAATGAATTAAAGCTGAAATTTAAGGTAACATTTAATGTTGTATGATTTTTACAGAAAAAAAAATAATAAAACTTACTATTTATAGGCTGCATTAAATTCTTACTATTTTTTTGCTACTATTTTTGGTAAATGTTAATTCTTATTATATATATATATAGCTATAGATTCTTATTTTGGTAATTTTGTCGACCCGGTCAAACCTGTTGACCACAGGTCCGAGCCAAATTTGGATTGCAATCGGTCCGGGCTATAGTCTTGTTTTTTCGACCCTGGCCCGCCAGGCTGGGTCCGAGTCGACATGGATTTAATTTTTTTTCTTTTTATTTGGACTGACCCAGCTCGTGTTTTGGCCATGTCTAGTTCCCACTTCTATCTCGATGACTCGAACTTATGACCTATCGATCATGAATTGTTCTATTCTATTCTCACATGGACCAAAAAAGTCCAATGTGACATCTAAAATATGTAGAAGTCTTTCTAGAGGTAGAAAGACTTCTAGACATCTTATATCTATATTATATAATTTATTTTATATTTTTCTCTCCACCAACCAGTTATTATCTTACATGTATAAAATTATTCCACAATTGATATTAACTATTGTCACGCAATACATCTCACAATGGACATTGTGCTAACGTGTTATTTATTAACTCTTTTTTTTTTGTTTTTATATTTCATTTATTTTTTATTTTCATGCATTTAAAATTTATTATTATAATTTATAAATATTTAAATTTATTTTTATTGAGAATAGAATATAAGAAATTATATTGAATGAGTGGATAATTCCATATATGTATTTAAATAATTGTATAGGAATGTGGGGGTGTGTTCAAATGGAGAGAAATTAAGTGAAAAGATGATACGAAGATGATGTGGATGAGAGAGAGTTAGTTTTTTATTAAATGAATGATTTTTGTGTTAATGGTTGTGGATGCCCTGAGATGCTTTTAAGTGTTCCATTGATAAATAAAATAAAATAAATAAATAAATAAACCAAGGAAAACAAGTTAAAAACTAAAAAGCCCCGCAACAGATTTTGATCGCAGCCGGTGACGGAAGTTTAACCGGAGCTGAAAACTTCCAAAATCAGCGACGTCACCGGTGGAGAAGGGTTGAAGCAACGCTGAAGTGAGAAGGGAAAAAAGGAAAAAGAAAAGGGAAAATATGAATATGTACCTCTCGTTGTCGCCGTGGCCGTCGCCGGTTAGCTGTCGGAAGTTGGTCGTCCTTGCCAGTGGAAGAAAAGGCACAAGGTAATTTTGTATTTCGTGTAGTATACTTTGGCAATTGAGCAGTTTTTAACATAACTCTAGATATAAACCGTGCCATGCCCCTGCATTTTTCTCGAGCAAAGCAAAGTTAATATGAGTGCCTATGACTATTCCAACATCCATCGGCCATGGCTGTTGTGGGTTCACTAGTGAAATACATTACTTGTACAGAATGCGTACTCGGGAGTTTACATATGTGTTCATATCTCAGTCCATACATACTCACTAGCTCAACAAGGTTTTCGAATTTCATGAATAGTCCTCCACATTTTCTTTCTTACTATTTTACGATCCTATCTTTCAAGCGTGTCGTCAAGTTCATATGTTGCAGATGAATATTGCCTTGCTAATTGTGCGTTGCTTATTGAATATTCCGGCAATGGTGGCGGCTCTTGTGGGTCCACCAGAGGCTCGTCGGCCTCCAACATTTTAAGCGCGGTGGCCATATTCGGTCTTTGATTTGGTAGTGTTTGGGTGCACAATAAGGCGACTTGAACGCACCTTAGAGCCTCTTCCTCAGGATAAGCCCTTTCAAGTCTTTCATCTACCAAATCACACGCTCTCCCTTCTTTCCAAAGCTCCCATGCCTTTTTTGAAATATTGAGCAATGTTATCAATATGATGCATCAAATGAAAAAAGCTTCTTTCCAATATATATTGGCTTTCATGCACATACTGCTTTAAAACACAACTTACGTGGCCACGGAGGTTCATGGTGTGGTTCGAAGAGGATGAGTTCATTCTTCTCCAGTTAAACACTCGCTTGCCACTCACGATTTCCAGGATCACAATCCCAAAGCAATACATGTCGGTTTTAAATGAAATTTTCCAGTTCAGGGAGAGTTCTGGAGCAATATACCCTCTGTACATAGAGATGATTGTAAAAACATAGAGTATAAACAAACCAGAAAGAACAAAAAAAAAAAAAAAAAACGGTGTGCGTGGAGCTCTGGCTCGATACTTACAAGGTCCCGGCTAAGTTGGTTTCTAATTGAGAATCGTTTTCTGCTAAGGCCCTAGCAAATGCAAAGTTTGAGAGTTTAGGATTCATCTCAGTGTCCAGTAAGATGTTGTTTAACTTAGGGTCCCTGTGAATGACCCTAAGTCCCGAATGTTGATGGAGATACACAAGTCCTCGAGCAATCCCTTTTATGATTTTGAGTCGTACTTCCCATTCGAGAAGACATTGGACTTCATCTGAGTTAGAAGAAGTTTGAGTCAAATCAAAATGTTGCATTATGAAATTAAGTAGAAAGATTCAGAAATCCTCTGACCTCCTATGTAAGTATCCATGCTTCCATTCTCCATGAACTCATAAACGAGCAGCTTTTCTTCTCGATGAATGCAATAGCCGAGTAGCTTGATGATAACATTGGACTTCATCTGAGTTAGAAGAAGTTTGAGTCAAATCAAAATGTTGCATTATGAAATTAAGTAGAAAGATTCAGAAATCCTCTGACCTCCTATGCAAGTATCCATGCTTCCATTCTCCATGAACTCATAAACGAGCAGCTTTTCTTCTCGATGAATGCAATAGTCGAGTAGCTTGATGATATTTCTATGCTGAAGATCGGGAAGGTAATGAATCTCGTTCGTGAATTCAACGAGACTTTGTGTAGAATCCTGTTTAAACCTTTTGACTGCAACTAACTCTCCTGTGGGCAACACTCCCTTTACAGGATGATAGTTTTTCATCAGTGTCAAATTTATTAATATAATGCATGGTAAAAAGAGTATGAGGCACCGGTCTAGAAAGTGACCTTATACACAGAGGCAAATCCACCTCGTCCGATTTTGCGCTTACTAGAGAACTGATTGGTGGCAGCCACAATCATATCCCAGTCGTATTTGTTCGCTCTTATGTTCGCTTCATCCCCGATCTCTGCATTTTCTCATAAATATGTTATTTGATATATGTTATAATTTCTCATGAATTTGTCGACTTTTATTTTGTCCATACCCGATAACAAAATGGTTTTCTTGGGTTGTTTAACTCTGTTCCAAAACGCATCCCACGGCCAAAGTCGTAACGGCTTTCGTTTTCTCTCATCTCTTCTTGCAGGTGGAACCTCAGTAGTAGTAACCGCTCGTCTTCTCGTTTGTTGTTCACGTGAAGGTTCCAAATCCGCCACGTGTCGATCAGCCATTGGTGATTGCCCATTGCTACCTGAGTTCCTTTCTTCATGTGAAGCACTCGTTACCTCACTGTCTTGCTGCTCGAGCGCTAGCTCAAGCTGCTGCACGACCTGAGCCATTGTGGGCCGACTCTTTGGATCCTCTCGCAAGCACCTCTCGGAAATCCCCACGAACGTCTTCAGACTTGCCGGCAAAATCTCTTCCTTTAGACTCGAATCCACTATCTGATCGACTTCTCCCTTGTTTATTCTGTCACGTGCCCATATGGTCAAAATGTGTTCTTCCTCCTCCGCGAGGCTTAGATCCACCGCAGGCCGCCCAGTCAGCATTTCGAAAAGCACCACGCCGAAAGCGTACGTGTCGGTTTTCCTTGTCAGCTTGCGCGTGTGGAGGTAATGCGGGTCCATGTACCCGTTTGTGCCCTTGACCCGCGTGCTGACGTGGCTCTGCAGCTTTCTCCTGTCTTCCTGTTTGGCCAGGCCGAAATCCGAGACCTTAGCCACCAAGTTCTCGTCGAGCAGGATGTTAGTACTCTTCACGTCTCTGTATGATTCTGTGGCCCGTGTGGAGATAGTCGAGCCCGTGCCCGGCCCCGATGCAGATTTCGAGACGTTGCTTCCAGCTCAGCGGTGGACAGCTGCTGCTCGTCCTCCGAAGCCTGTAAAGACGGTCGGCCAGCGTGCCACCTGGCATATAGTTGTACACGAGAATCATCTCCCTGTGTTCGTTGCAGTATCCGATTAGAGAAACTAGATTCGCGTGACGAAGCTCGGACAACGTCTCGATTTCCATCAGGAACTCGTGGGCCCCCTGACTCGAGTTCGGTTTTAGCCTCTTGATGGCGACCGACTTTCGTCCTCCTCTGTCGACGATGATGTTGCCCTTGTAGACTTTTCCGAATCCGCCCCTCCCGATTAGAAGCCCGCCGTTGAAGTCCTGCGTGGCGAATTGCATCTCGATGAGCGAAAAACGGCGACAGAGACCTTCGGCTATGGCGGAAGGCTTGTTGTTGTCCGGCTCCCCGAGCTAAGTTATAAGCTTCCGAATTCTCGCGCAGTTTGTATGCGATGATGTTTGCTAGGGAAATTACGAGTAAGACCGCAAACGAAAATGCGTTCGTGCTGCGGAAGGTCGTGGAGAAAATGCGGGTGCTTTTGGACGGTGGATTTTGAGATGGTGGAGGAAAGGGATTCGGGCTTGCGAGACTATTGTCCGGGTTGGTAAGTTTGAATATTTCGAACCCGGATAGAAGTTGAAGCCCGCCCGTGAGCTCGTCTAAGGAATGCAGAGAAATCGAGAGTCGACGTTTTCCTTCCTCTTTATGTCCCCTCATTGTCACTAGGTAGTCCTTGTAATAATATCTTTTCCTGTCATTTCTAGGTTCGTTTTCTAAGTCGATATTCGTGAGAGCAATTGCTTCGTTGATGAGGACTTTATAATCACTTGTCCTTGCAATCTTGAGTCCCATTTGCGAGATATAAAGTCTGATCATGTACCTGAATCCCACATCCACCGGTACTTCCCACGTTCGCCTTTTCACTCTTCGGCTCTTCGCAAATCCCACGTCAGAAACGTGTCGTCAAGATCTCCACCGGCCAGCACGGAACTTTCTTTGATAATATTTAGCCGGTGGACATACTCAAGTGCCGTGTGGCGGTCTACGTGGACAGGGGAGTTTCGGCCGACCGCTTGAACTCCGATGTCTCCATTGTGAAAATAGGATATGCTTTCCGGCACGGATATAATCTCGATGCCGTTCACAAATGCATATGAACCCGGTTCTGGAGTAAAACTTACGTTAAACTGCTCGTTTTTATGTATGAACAAACAGAATTCTTTCGTGAAAGGTTTCACTCCGAGGGCACATGCGGTGAGCGAAGCACTGAAGTTGCCGAGCAAGGTAAATGGGCTGGCTTGGACCGTGAACAAGTCCTCAAGTCCTTTGAAGCCATTGTATTGGGCCGGGTTGAAGTGAAGGCGGAGGATTTTCGGGCCTGGGCCCACTCGGAATGCGTACACGAATTTCGAACGGGAAATTCTTGACGATCCGTAGGGGACTCGGTTGCTGGATAATAACTTGCCGTTAGCCGCTGAGGTTGTCGAGTGGTCTTTTATTTGCATAATCGAAGCAGATTTCGGGTTTGTGATGTCCCCAACCCATTCCCGGCCGTTGGGTGCAGGGAAAATGCCGGTCGAGCCGCAGTTAATTGATACGTCGCCTGTGAAAAGGTCTACATTATCATTATGACTGCTGTATGTGGATGTTATGTGGAGATAGAAAATTATTGAAGGGATTGAAAATGAGTGAATATTCATAAATCTGTTTGTGTTGTGTTTGGGAGCTGAGGAGGAATGGTGTTAGCTTGTGAATGAATGAATTATCAGTGTTCTTTGACTTGGGTAGTCAACGGTTTTAGTTGATTTTCACAGTAAACATAAACATTGAATATTCTAATATTGTGTGGACGTTGTTTTTTCGTAGAAGTTGCCATCGTGTTTCCTCCGAAGTTCATAATGAGAAACGTCAAGTGGGAAAAATAATTGAATGCATGGGTCTACGAAGTTCATTGTAGACTTGTAGTTTCATATTTGAACTGGGTAAGCCCAATCACACCTACCAGTGAAATGGGCCCATGGATATTGGCTCCTTCAATCAACCGTAACAGATCATGGTCAACTCTGACAGCTCATAAAAATCAGCTCATAACAAAATTAACTCTGATATTTGCTCGAATATTATGAAGGAATTTTGTTTGGATTTGCAGGAAATTCAGCAGCTGAAGTGCCGAACCTAACATTTGTTCCTGAAAGTGGTCCGTCCATGGATGACATCGAGATCATCAAGGATTTTGGGAGATTTCAGAGATAATCAATTGGTCTGATACCATGAAGAAATTTGGGCAAAATATCTGAATGATCAAACCGAAGAAGCCCTCATTAATGATCTGATTGCTGCGACTAATATTGACATGGTAAAGGGAGGGGATGAGAATAACATGCCCTAGTTTAGAGATTAATTGGTAACGATGAATCCCCGTGAAGTTGAAACCCAATACTTTTTGGGATTGCAAAATGCTCACTGTTAAGTCTACATCAATACTGTGTTAGAAATTACACGGGGTTTGTAGATTTTCATTCCATGTCATCTCGGTTACAATTTTGAATATTTTTTTTCAACGATAGAATTCATAAAACGGAACACATAATTACATATTAGAAAATAGCTAAACACTCGAATAAAACCAGCCAGCCAACTGAATCTAGTTGGGAGAGCTACACTAAGTGTAGTCTAGAACCAACCTAACCTAAAAGAAAAACAATCACAAAGAAACACTAAAAACAAGAAGAAGCTTGTGGTTGCTCACTTGGCTTTTTGTTTTGTAACGCCATTTTTGATCTATATATATTTACTATATTTACCATTTACCGATCAAAAAACAAGAAGAAGCTCCCACAGGTGGAGAAGAGTATCTCCCAACAGGTTGGGAGAATAAACAAACTAACACAAAAAGGAACACAAAGAAAACTAAACAAACAGAAAGAGAAAGAACATGAACAGCCAAAAAAACTTAAACAAAAAAACTAAAGTAAACAAAGGGCCTCCCCTCCAAACAGGAGCCACCAGCAACCCACGAGCCACTATGTCAGAATCCCTTGAGGGTTTTTGTTAGAACAAAAGTAGTTCAGATTCTCAATTTTCAATTTAGACAATAAAAACTGCAATTACACTGTCAGAATCCCTTGAAGGTTTTGTAAGAACAAAAGTAATTCAGATTCTCCGTTGCTTTTTGTTCGACTACTAAGTTTCCAGAATAGTTGGAATACAGGAAACTGCTCGATTACACTAAAAACTTTAAAGTGTATTTTCAAGGGGAAAACGTCTACTTGAGAAACTCGCTTCTTTCTATTTGGAA